AGTACATTCCTTACCACAGACTCCACTAACTGCAGGTCATGTGCATGTCTTCTAGCAGGGTCGTTGTCTTTCGACTCCTCTAGATTCCAAATAATTAAACTAGGGAGGGGTTTAGCTTCTTTTGAAACTGTGTTCACAGCTTTCGACCGTGACGTTAGATCCTGTATTTTAACTACTAGTATCCTACGATTAGTTTTTATTGTAACAGAGTCCTGGGAGTCGAGCGAGTGACTCACAATGTTAGACAAAGCTTTACTATTGGACTTTGGCGGAGTGGTCTGAGAGTCCACCAAGGACTTATCAAGTAAACGGTCATTAGTTTTATTATTATTATTTTATTTCAACACATAGATAATGGTACAAAGAGGCACCAAATACATATGCGCCACACAAATCTCATCCGATATGTGTGAGGGCTGCGATACTGCCCGGGTGCCCAAACCGAAGCAGGTGGTTTTCTTAGGGGGCCACACCCCGAGCCTTTGACCCAAAGGTCTGATCCACAAGGCAGTGGAGCATCGTAAGGAGATGCAGTCCCATGGAAGCCGGTGACCAACAATTGGTTCATTCGCCATTTGTTCCCGCAGGATACTGGAGCCCATGTGCACCATTGGTTTGGAATCCGGTTAAAGCGCCGGACATTCGCTTTTCGTCCTCTCATTTTCGTAAACAACACCCCCGCCACGAGAAGGCAGTGAGTAGGACTTCCCTGGCAGAGGCTATATACGCGTGGCCGTGTGAGAGTATTTCGAGAGGGAGAGCGGACTCTCCCCACTCTCGGCCGTACAAGGGCATTTGGGGGCCATTAGTTTTAGCTGTCTTTCCTACTCTTCTGAGTTTCCGTGTCATCCATATTCCATCAGTCGTAGCATCCACATTAGAACCACTCGGGATAGTAATTGTTTTATCTGGGTCACCGGTTGCTGCTGTAACAATATGGCCACCAATATCTAATGAGGTGTCACTCATTGATTGTTTCGGGGTAGACGGTTTAATAGCGGGTTGCACAGTTAGATGTCTGGCTTGCGCCGTGACAGCATTTACGACACTAACGCAATCTTCGCCATCAGTACCAATGTTGCCAGTACAGCCCTCATCAACCTTATTAGCCAACACTAGGAGACTAATTGCTTCCTGGATAAGCAATGTTTTGCTCGAGCAACAAAAACTACAAGGCCAATGAGAGTTGGGCTTTGAGCACCTTTTATATGCAGTGGGGCTTAATCGGGTGCACATCTTATGGAACCACTTATTGCACTCATCACATTGCATCCCTTCCTCCACGGGAAATAAGCAATATGGTTGTCCACATTTATGAGCAGATCTAGCCATCTTGAAAATCAACTAGAACGGTGACAAAAACAGGATATGTAAAAGGATTCTCAAACCTTAACTAAATGAATCAAGTAAAAGTCGACCAGGTATGCTTCGATGCAATAAATATACAAAAGCAAAACCGAAACACAATACAATATCACTTTAACTGGGGTAGATGCAATTAAAGTGTAAACAGTAGTTCTGATGCGTAATTTATGATCAAAACAATTAATTAACTCAACGAGAAACAATACCACTTTATAAGGCAAAGTGGTGAGAGTGTATTGTACTGACGAATTATCGCTCAAACAGAAATATTCTATTTACAAAACAATTGGCAATTGAGAGTAATACAATACCAGTCGAATTACAGCTGTATTTGTAATAAATTACCTTCACAAGTCAAGTTATTTTCATAGTAAGGGGTTATCACACTAGTTTTAATGTAAAAGTGTTGGGGTTAAGTATTACGAGTTGTACTGGGGTTTACAGTTAGGCTTCCAATATTTTAAAAACCGGATATTCCCAATTTTCACTTGGCTAGTGTTAACATATACGTTATCTATCACTTCACTTTAAACTCCGCACTATCCTTGTGTTATCTTAATTCTGTTAGAATATTATACTTTCACCGGTTTTACTTTATTTATTTATTTAAACACATGAAAATTAGTATAAGGAGTCAGCAAATATATATGCGCCACAAAAATCATTCGATTTGTGTTAGGGCTGAGATACTGCCCGGGTGCTCAGACGGAAGTAGGTGGTTTTCTTAGGGGGGCACAACTGGAACCTTCGATCTACAAATCTAATCCACAAGGCAGTGGAGCAACGTAAGGAGATACAGTCCCGTGGTAGCCGGTGACGAACAATTGGTTCATACGCCATTTGTTTCCTTAGGATCCTGAAGTCCATGTGGAATATTGGTTTGGAATGAGGGTTTTCCATCTCTCCTAGGTGGACTCTCCGTGTCTACCAATCCCGTTGGAATGCCGAACATCCGCTTTTCGTCTTCTCAATTTTGTAAACAACAGTAATTCTGTGGGAAGGCAGTGAGTAAGACTTCCCTGGCTGTGATTGTATGCGCGTGGCCATGTGAGAGCATTTTGAGAAAGAGAGGTAACTCTCCCCACTCTTGGCAGTACCAGGGCGTTTGCAGATATTCTGGTGTGTATTATGGAGCATCCAACTCCAATATCAGCCGTTTATTTTTTAACAACGTTATCAGACGGTGGAAATCCCAAAGAACAAAGAGTGTACTATTTGTACCTGGCAAATTTTCTAGGTAGTATCAATTAAAATGATAGGAGAAAAGATGTGCTTGCCCTAGTCGAATATTGACCACATGTTCTTGTAATATATCTAAATTTTTAACCGAAAATGATTGTCTTGTTTTGATGTCTGCTCATATTTAGTGTTCTCTGGATGCCTCCAGAAGACTCCGATTTTCATATAAGTAGGCGTTGGTGAAACTTCTTTCTAGAGTATTGCATTGTCATGATAGGGGCAAGTAATCATTTAGTGCTTTAAGTCGGAACGAATGAAAAGTCGTCTATCTGCTTCTTCGAAAGCTACCAATATTTGTTGAGTCATCTAGATGTCTCGAATCACAGCAGAAACGAAAATCGGCATATTATATCTAATAATTGACCTCGCAGAATATTTTACTTTGGAGGCCAACAATATACTGTTATGTAAGTGAAACTGTAAACGAGTGTTTGTATTTGTACTATTTTCATAATTTGAAAATGATACTGTGTCTATTCGACTAGGGTGTCGAAATAATCCCCTAATTTGTGTGACACACTGATTGATGTTGTGTGTTCTCATGCAGAATTCTGTCGAAAATGCTCACCAGTACTATTAGCTCAGCCTAGATTATCAATAAACTCTGTGGATTCTTTCCGCTGTTCGTATTTTATGGTTGATAAAAAGCCTTTCTGAGTTGTTAATTATGCCTAAGCCCAGTTAGGTTGTTCAAAATAACAATCGAACAATCACAACTCAGTTACATAAATTTTACATGTGTTAAGTTCTTGCGGAGTTTTGATGTAAAATCGCAACTACTTTTCTTTGTTGTTAGTTTTGTAACTGAACCAATCAATATTTGAGCAGCACCAAAATCAGACTAGTGTTAAGGACAGATCTTATTTTCTTGTGCTAGGAAAGTTGTTTGCTTTCAGAACGTTTCCCAGTGAAGGTTTGACTCTAGTTGTGGTCTTGAGTGCTGTTGGAAGTACGAGGTTGGTTATCAGTTCCCGGTTGCCTACTAATTCTTTCTTCCTGTACTATGTCCTTATATGCAATCTTTCTTTTATATATTGCATTTTGTAAATGGCGTGGTTCCGCATTGAAGCAGTTAGCTTGTATAAAGTTTATGTGGTAATTATAATTTTTAAAATCTCATGATTTTTTTTCCTCACTATTCATGACAGTTCGCCACATGTGCTTTCGTAGTGTTTTATGTACCCTAATAGTTAGTAAATCATTAGAAGGTACTGATGCACCCACTGGGTACTAAGAATATCATTCCTATAAGTAGAAAAAAATTAACAAGAAAATAATGTCGATGCCACGTTACATGTGACCGTACACCTTTTGTTCGTGTATGAACTGACAAAAAGGTGATGACGTGTTAAAGATGGGAACTTCTTCGTCAACCTGTTCGTGCAATCGTAATTTAATATTGATTGAACGTGGTCCATTGACTGAAAACACGTTTATAACTTAGCTTTGAGTTATACACTTTTTGAGGGACAATAGTATTACACGGTTCTCCCAGCTTAACTAGGTGGAGGGAAATTCGGAACTATGACCTATCGGTTGGGAGCAGACCGCCTTAGCTAGTAAGCCTTCAAAGATAATAATAAACAGTTATCATCAGAAGAGCATAAGGACAGTTGTAATTTCTGCCAGGTTGCAATTTTCAGTAACCACTTGTCACTCGACATCAGTATTTTTTTTACACAGATGGGATTATTGTTGTTCTCACTTTTCATGAACAGTTTTATACTTCCATAATTTGAACACTAGTTCATTGATTCGGTTACAACATCCACCTCACTATCCTTCATTTAATGTTGGCATTCGAGTAGTATTATCTTTTACGTATAAGATACAGATAATATACCAGTATACAAGGTCATTTTTAGTTTTCAAAATACGTTGGTCAAGTAACTAAGTTTGGCACAAACAGATTTCAGGTTTTTGGAACGATAATTTTATACGAATCCTGAGGACTTATTAAATTCTCTTCGAATGAAACGATATATTTGCTTATCATACGTCAATTAAAGCATGATTGGTTGGTATAAATGTCATTGTTCCGCTTATATTTGTTCAGTTTTGTGAAAATTTATCTTCAATTAGAAATGGTAGTTGATTTCTTATTTATATAAATTTATTCTTGGGGTTTATATGATCTAGATCTAAAAAGTATTCTGTAAATTTTCCTGTTCAGGAAATATCATTTTCAATGGCTTCTCAGTTACTGTATTTCAAGCTATTACAAACTTATACAAAGTTTGGATTCCATTTTTACTTTTCTATTCTGAAAGTGTAATTGCACTGTTGGTTTCGGTACTCGGTAGTTCAATGGTGTCATACGCTAATACTATTCCTGGTAGTTTATCTTAAAACTTTTTATCATTTTTTTTATTTCAAGCAATTACTACTGATTTAACATGAGTAACTCAGTGTTAGAAATGAATTTCATTCGTTTACTATACTGTACCGAATGTCTAGCAGCACAGAAACAATTAGGAACCACTTACAAGGACTACGTAAAAACTCTTGAAACATTTTTTAATACATTGACTTCATCAAATCATCGTTCTTCTCCAAAAAATATACGTAAATATGAAATAAGAGTAAGTTTATTGGCATTTATTTCAACATTTCACATATCGTCCGTCAATTTTTTTTCAGTGTGTTATTTTATCTGTTCCACATTTTTCAATGAATAATCATTTCCTGTGGAATTTCAATGGTCTAATGGTTCTTATTAACTCTCATCGAGTTACCAAATAAATATGGTTCATGTAGTTGAGACTAATCAAAATATACATATACTAACGCGCTTTATGAATAGTAGACCATGTTTATTGAAATGTTGATGCAGATAATTCTCATTGGCAGGTTTGCTTAATTGGTGTTATAATACAAGCTAAAGCACTCGATTTTTATTTATCCGAACTTAAACCAATAGATGAACAGAAGCAATGTCAGTTAAAATCTCGATTCATTGATATTTCCAGTTATTATGAAGCATCTGAAATATTACAGTCGAAAATTATATCTCAAGATCACCAAGAAGCTTTGCAGAGTGAAAACATCGTTATCCTTTTGCCTGATTAAAGCTCAGGAGTAGTTTTTACAGAAAAGGACAAGTATTTAAATAAAGTCAAGATAGTACTGGATGATCCATCGAAGTTTGTAGTTGGTCGGGGGAGGACTAAAGGTTTAACTGTGAGGTAACGTAAAGACTCTTCACGAATAAGTCAAAACAATTCCTGAGAAGAAAATTAATCGACAATTGCATACAGTGAACTGAATCAATAAGGTTCCAGATCACCTTAAATATATGGTCTACCGAAAGCATATAAATCTGATGTTACTCTTATACCGATACTATCAATGATCAATCCTCCAGTTCGCAAACTCATCTGGTCGTTAGCGAATCGTTTCGGAGCCCTTTGTTCGAAATTATCTGTATGTAGCTTAAAAGATACCTTTAATTCACTAAAATGCTAGAAAATGTTAAGATCCCTGGAAAATTCATAGTTTCATTTGATATCTCATTATTTACAACAATCCTACTATATGAACACAGTGGACTTCTTTTGTTAAAAGATGAGTTCAAACAACTTTTACCAATATACACTAAAGGTGTGCATTGATTAATTCAATAATACTTTATGTCGACAAGTTGACGGAGTCAGTCAGCTACAACGTAGGACCAGGCACATATGTGCATCGGTCCAGGTTGCCATACCGCATCAACACAACAAGATGAACACCAGATTCATAACAGTGGTTAGGTATAAGGTGGTAATATATAAGAGAAAGATTGCATATAGAGATATAGTACAAGCAGAAAGAATTGGTTCGTAGAAAGAAAGATATGAAGCGATTTTAATCTCATAGTTTAAGTGAAGACAGGGAGTGTATACACCGACGCCATTGTGATCGATTCTGAGCCATGTCACCAAGAGTCTCCAATCATTGGTTACGATAGTCACGCGGACCCCAACCAAGTAGTCTGCATCTACCAACATGGCTCAGACTAGAAGTTAGTGACTTCAAGCACTGATGCCACGTTTTGGTTTGGCCGCCCCTAACTTTCTTCCAACCATTTCCAATACCGGATAGCATTGCACGTCGTGGTAATCGGTGTTCAGGCATACGTAACACGTGGCCCAACCATCTCAGTCGATGAAGATTCATAACCTCATCAACTGATTTACCATCCTTTCCTAATACCCTGCGTCTAACCTCACTATTACTTACCCGGTTATCCCAGCAGACGCCAGCAATATTTCTTAGGCATCTGTGGTCAAATACTAATAGCTTACGAGTGTCTTCTACTCTTAATGGCCATGTTTCGCTGTCGTAAATTAAAACAGAACGGACTGCCGCGCAGTATACTCGTCCTTTTATTGATAGACGGATATCTCGCCTTCGCCACAGGTGACGTAAGTTGGCAAAAGCCAAACGAGCTTTTCGAATCCGTGCTGAGATTTCGTCCGATACCAACCCATTAGGGCTGATCAGACTTCCAAGATAAGTGAAGTCGTCAACGCGTTCGACTACTTCACTCCCTATCCTTAGTTCAGGTGTTAACGCAGACCAGTCCTGAAGCAACAACTTGCATTTAGAGGGAGAGAAGCGCATTCCAAACATCCTGGTATTGTTGCTCAGTGCTACCAGAAGACTCTGCATTTTGTCAGCGTCTTCACCAAACAGGACTATGTCATCTGCGTATTCTAAGTCGATAAGTGGATCTCCTGGTAGGAGATCAATACCCGAGAACTCAGTTGACGAGAAAGTTATTTCCATCAGTAGATCTATGATGAAGTTAAACAAAAATGGGGAAAGTGGACATCCTTGACGGACACCACTTGAGGTTGCAAAAGTAGATGACAGTTCGCCATAAGCTCTGATTCGACTAGTAGTGTTCGAGTAAAGAGCCTTTACAAGGTTTATGTACTTCTGAGGTACGCCTTTCAATGACAGACACTGCCACAGAATCTCGCGGTCTACCGAGTCAAATGCTGCTTTTAAGTCAAGAAAGACCACCATCGTCGGACGCCTATAAGTATGCCTGTGTTCTAGAACCTGACGAATGGTGAATATGTGGTCGATGCAGCCACGACCAGGTCTGAAGCCAGCTTGATTTTCTCGTGTTTGCAGTTCACGAGTTTTAGTTAGGCGTCTGATTATTATTGAGGCTAGTATTTTAGATATTATATTAGTTAAACTAATCCCTCTGTGGTTGTCACAGGATGATTTTGACCCTTTCTTATATATTGGGACGATAAGTGATTGCGACCAGTCAGATGGAATAACGTCTAACTCCCAGATCTTAGCTAAAATATTAGTCAACCTAACCGCTAAAATTGGACCACCATCCTTAAAGACTTCTGGAGCCAGTCCATCTGGACCAGCAGCCCTTCCTCGTTTCAGATTATCTATAGCCTTTTGAACTTCAGCAAGAGTTGGAGGACCTACTTCAATGTTCCATTCACGCTGTCTGGGAATGGAGGGTAGTTGTAGAGTAGCTGAAGGCCAGCTGAACTGTTCTCTGAAATGTTCAGCCCATCGTTCTAAACGCCTGGACTGGGAGCAGATGAGTGTATCGTCTTTTTCCGATATAATCTCACTTACACTTGACTTATTAATTCCAGTTTCTTTTATTAGTCTGTAAAGCTGTTTTGTGTTCCCTATAGTCGCCGCCTTTTCCATCTCTTTTGCTTTCGTTGCCCACCACTGCTCACGGTCGTTTCTTAGACTTTTTCTTGACCTAGATCTGATTTGTTGTCGCTTTTCATCATGTTCGGAACCTGATGGGACGAGTTTGCGAGAATCCATCAGTGTGATAGACTTTGAAGAAATCCACTGGCCTTTTGAAACTCTGTGGTTTAAGTCGCTAATAGATGTCACTGCTGCTTCCACAGCTGCTTGTATGTCTTTCCAAGCAACATCTGGGTCAGCCTCGTCTTCAGAACTACCTAAGTGTGAACTCAGTTGTTCTTGGAACCTATTTTTGGTTTTCTAGTTGACGGAGTTGCTGTAGATAGCCCATTGGTACCAGTTATAACAGATATATTTATTGCAAACCTAGAACAAACAAAAATGAAGCCGACAGTTAATAAAACAGAACTGTATGTCAGGTACTTTGACGATACATTTGTTCTTTGCAATAATTATAACCATGCTTCACACATGCTGAACCTTCTCAAGAAAGAACACTCTAATGTGTATGGTTTACCACTGAGCAGAAGTATGGTGACGAATTTCGTTTCTTTAATATGAGTGTTCAACGCTAATCAAGCGGTCAAACAGAAAGATATGTCGATTGGAAAGACATTAAAACTAGGCTTTATTTAAATTCCGATAGCCTCTGTATAAGAGGTTACTAAAAGGTTTTAGTTAGAATACCATTTTACTGCATAATGAAACTGTTCAGAAGAGACTGAACAATAATTAAGCATAATTGAAAAGTGTTTGTGAAATAATGGATATCTACAAAAATTTATCACTAACAATGAGAAATCACGAGAGAAGGGAATAGGATTTACTATGATAAGGAAAAAGCAAGTCTTTTGACGACTTAGCGTTAGAAACTAATTTCTGTGTCAAACACATTGCTCATCGAGACAAAAAATGAACAAATCCTCACCTTATGTTACTGCCAATTGTGTTTATCAGTTTACATGTTTGTGCCAAAGCACTCATATTCGAAGAACAGAAAAGGGTGTTCTTGTTCACATCTCGGAACAGAGCACATTTCACAATAATTGAAATTAAGAGGTCAACGTATTCCCAACAATGCCATTGAAAATAATCAATACCGAAATAATTTCCAATCTATTACGTGACGCCGAAGCCATCTCAATTTAAGAGTTGGAACGAAACCTGCATACTAAAAAGGATACAGTTGTAAATCACTATCCTGGTAAATTTTATTTTTCATAATTCAATTAAGTCACGTTTTGTTTCATATTCACAATAACGAATCCCTTTTTCATTCTTAGGTCCTTCTGAGACTTACTCATCTTACTTTACTATTCTATCAAATAGTATGGTTGTTATTACGCAGCTTTGACATCAATATTCATTCTCTAGAAACGTGTCTGCATGTTTTGTTAAAACCATTTTCATAGAATCTTTACATTAAGTGTCATGGAAATATTTCTCCACGTTACAACTTTATAATACTTCCATACCTTTTGTCGTTGTTCCACTAATCTTCACTGATATGACATAAAGTATGTATATTGGTTATAAATAACCATTAACTGACGAAAATTCACTAAATGAGTTCATCTTATTCTGCTATGTTCTTAGTTATTTCTTCATTCAAATGATAAAACTACAGGTTTAAATGTTATTCTATCTACTGAAGTTGAAATATCCACCAAGTATTCATCACACTGTATTTATATAACGGCATAATCTAGCTATCGTTAGATGCTCTGATAGTATTTTTATAGCTTCTGATGTGTTAAGAATAATCAGGTATTACATAACTGTGTTATTTGGTGTTAGGTCACATAAAATTCTTATGCTCTTTATGTGTATGTTGCATAGGCTTCGAACCGTTTATCGTCAGTTCAACGTAAACTAGTACATTTTTGTAACAGGTCTTATGTTGTTTAAGACTGATTAAAGGTTTTAAACCTGGACAATTATTTGAATCAGAGCTTAAACTTTCATATGAATTCAGTACATTGACTATTACCTGGTAGGATTATTTACTTTCTTAGTTTCTACATCTATTGTCATAGCTATGCTTCTAGGCATCACTTTCATCATCTAACTGTGCCAGACATTAATGTAATTCAAACTTCTTTCCATCTGCCTTTTGAATAGAGATGGCCAATTTTTGTATTGTAAAGATAGTGTTAAGATTCAGCTTTCTGTGACAGTCCAAGAATGTTAATGTTGTTTAATCGCCTTCTAATGATAAAACGTTTTTCATGTCTGTTCTACGTCTCCATATAGTTTGTCTTATCCTGAATGTTTCTTCAGCTGTAATTGATTGGCTGCTGATATAATCTCGTCATGAATATAATGTACTGATTTGGCTTTTGCCAAGTTACAGGTGACATTTCATTCTAAATATCAGAAGTTAATTATACCATACATCGTTCCTTTCACTATTACTTTGCAAATGTGGAACGTAGTTTTTTAAGAGGAGCTTTTCAATTGTCACTCTGGCTTTGATAAAACCATCGAATGGTTATGTATTAAGTATCCTTAATCATCACTAACTCTGAATTTGTATCACTATCAGCAGAATCGTTTGGTTAAAATGCTCATAGTTTTCAGACTAATATATATCATCCACCAATGGAATCGCTGGTTATTCCTTCAAGCCGTGTAGGAAGCATCAGGTATCCTAAACGAAGTCTGCTAATTAATCACAGTCTTATATTACAGATTTAAATTTATTCAGTAAATATGCATTCCGTGTTTTTAATATCTTTCATTCTTTAATCTCACTTGGTTCCCTCACTATTTTAAATTTTTAAAGTTGTGTGGATTGTTATTTTCGTTTCTCCCTTGTTTGTTCCGTCACTATATGTAATGGTGTGAATTCTGATAATATGAACTGCTACACATATGGAAGGGATAGTCTTACGGTTAAACTCCTATGTTTTCAACTGTTACACCGTAGATTACGACCTCATTCCACCCATTTCGGCTTGGGCGACCAGGTAATATCACTAACCCTCACAAAAAATGTAAGTTTATCCTTCAGAGCTGATTATATTAAGGTCATGTAGTTGGCAAGTTGATTGCATATTTTCGGTAGGCTCAGTTTGGCTTTACCAACTTTCATCGCTTGTGGTGTAGGCGGGATGTCCGTTTGTGCAACAATCCTCACTGCATTACTATTGTGGGGGAGGGAAGCATATTCTTTGAAAGTAGAAATTATGGGTTGGCTTCCTATTTTTTGATAATAGGTATCTTCAAAGCGATGTTGGGGTTAGGCTTAGGCATAAGGTACTTAGCAAAGGTGGAAAATCTGTTAATAAGGTAGTAAATCCTCATCAGCTGGGGTGGATAGAACATGTGTTATATATCCGAAGTCCACGTACCTTCACAGCCGATGTTTGCTGGTATAAGAATGGGCTGGAAGAAGACCAGGGAGGGTCAAACCATGACGGACCTTGTAGATAGACTAAGTGGTTGGGTTCCGCGAAGTAACGGCGATTAGTGGCTGCAGACGCTGGGTGATATGGCTCATAGTCATTCACAATGGTGCAGATGCATTTACTCTTTATCTTCCTCTAGATCTTGAATCCCAATATTCTTTTATCCACACCTTTCTCGTCTTATCTTTCTCAATAATATCCCCAGTATTTCATTGTTATTGCTGCTATATTATTCTGATCTCTTTTGCTATTTATCTTGTTAATTTCATCTGATCGTTCTCATTTAGTATGGAGAGTTGAGACAACACATGTCTATACTAGGTTGTACGTTAATAAGGATTAACTGGCTGCCAGTCTCCGTGTTTTTTTATATATGTATATTTACTTACAATGACAGTGGTAAAATATGTTTAAAAAGGAATTATTTGTTTTATTTTAGCTAAAAAAGTTAAAGCAGACTTGCGATACAGTAGAAAATTCGAATGTACAGTCTATTCATCATCACCTATCACGTAGTGAAATAATTGCAACTTCTAAATTGAATGAAACCTCTCCTGTTAATCATAATGTCAATAAGGAAAATGTAATTGCTCTTGAAATAAATAACTTATCATGTGATAAAAACGATACTATGTGCTCCGAAATAGACAATCAATCACTTATTCAGGGCACATTTACTGATAGATGTGATTTGATCGCAAAAGAACGCCAACATATAAATAGACAATTACGAGAGCAATTATTAGGTAGGTATTCGTATATACTCCATGTTCTCATTCAAACAATCAATTTATGATGTAATATCCTGAGTTACCTATCATGTCAGTTCAGCCGCTAGCGCTGATTTATGCTTAAACACAGTATGCAGTACGCTAAAGCATACTTTTTATTGTTATCAGATATTATATTAGTCATGAGTTTGTCTTAGTGTCCAATTAGGTGTGCTGATAGAAATTCCTCTTGCACTGTTACGAGTAAAGAGAAACTGTGGGCTTTATAGTATTACCAATCAAATTCGCGTCAATAAAGTTCTGTAACATTGTAATATACAAATAGCAATAAGTCCATATTCAACAATGTTCTACTACCTAGAAAGAACACTGAATTCAAAAACTGCATATTAACCGTCAACATGAATCCGTATATTAGCTACTAACAAACGTCTTAGGGTTGTAGAATACGCCTGTCATTGTTTACAACTGGGTGTTCCTATTCTTTAATGTAATAGTTCAGTCCATCATCAAAGACACAATAAAATTAGACTGTACAAACGAGCTAATCAGTCTATCGAATTTCCGATGGAGAGCTTATGTTTTACAGATAATGATCACGACCTTGAATGACTTATTAGTCAATCAAAAAATATCATTTAGATATCAAACAATTTATGATTAAAAAAGTTATATTTCAATAGATAAATCGTTTTGCAGTAACTAATAAACTTTCAAATTAATTTGAACAAAAGAATGGTTAGTGTTAAAGGCTAGTGTTAGGAGTTAGGGTTAGAAGTCTGGTATACAGTTAAGAGTTGAGGTTAGAAAGGGAAAATGTTTTGTAATTATAGGGATAAAACATTTTAAAATAGTACAACCTATCTACTCAGAGATAAGTTTTAATGACATTCCATCATAGCTTTATTAAATCTGTTGTGTTTCTTAAACAAATACCATAAAAATGTGTCTTAAAATTACAGTAATCGGAAGAAGGTTGTCTCCAAGTTATTCACCAGTTAATGATTTCGGAGGTCTACGGTTCGATCCCTGACGCTCCATGAATGGGCAGTCTCATACTGGGATATAATAGCTGTCCAGTTCATTTAAATAAAGTCATCAGTGCATGATGTGAATAATCCTCAAATCAATAATGCCTCATGTATTCTATGAAGTGAGCTTCGTATTTATTTCACGAGTTAAATAAGTTTGTTTGGATGACCTCAATCGTGATCGGTTATCCTCGTAGGTTCATTTTGTCCAGAACAACAATGAAAGCTTCGCAATTAAGCCAGTTTAGCTAACACAACTCAATAATACCGAAAGTATTTATCTGAGTTGTAAATCTACTCATCATTTCAGAATTAATCATGTTTAAATTATGTACATTATTTGCCTTTTTCAGGTGGAAATAAGTCCAGCGATAAAAAATCATTAAATCATAGTCAAAATGATAATCTAACTCATTCCTCTGAACTTCTTTGTGAACAAGAAATTCAACGTGAACAATTAGCTTCAGAAATGCTGCTATTAGCAACAGATTTGAAAAATCAATCTTCTGCAATGAGTCAACGAATCCGCCTGGATTGTGAAACTGTTGATGCTAGTATTGGACAAGTTGAGAGAAATACCGCAAATCTTCATGGTGTATTAAATGAATTGTCATTAGAGCTTGGTTCCAAATGTGGTCGAATTGTATGGATTCTATTTTTTATTGCGTTAGGTTTATTTTTATACATGATACTATTTATGAAAATGTTTCGTAAACGAGTTATTCAGTCAAATTCTGTTTATTTTTCTAAAACAGAGTTATAAATTGTTATAGAATGTGCATATTATTGTTGAGGTTAATTGCCCCTGTCAACAAAATACTGGATTTTTTAATGGTTTTCGCTCCTGTGCTTCAAACTATACTGTGATATCTATTGTCAAAAGTCATGTGTAATTAGCCTCTCTTCCTATTGGTTGGTCTCTCTTCTCCGAAATCATGTAAATGCCATCTGTATACAGTGATGCTTATTTCATTGGGTTCTTTTTGTTGAAGTATAAAAGCTCTTTTGTAAAGTAAAGTCTCCTCCCTTCTCCATTTGCATGGAGTTTTCATAATTGACATGTGTCGTTGTACATTACTGACCTTCTAACATACCTAGTCAGGTTGAATACGATGTTATATATTCATACTGACTTGTGATACATGTTTCTTAATAGTTGGGATTTTCTGTTTCCCCGAGAAAACGCATTCTTTTTTATTAAATTTTGTGGAGTGGTAGATTCTCGGTATGACCTATATCTTAGAGAACAAGCAAATACATCCTAAGCTTTCTAACTCAAGGCCTAACTTATACTCTATGTTAATAGTCTACTGTTTGTCTACCGTACAAATTCATTACACATAACAGGAAGCTCTATCATATCGTATATATTAACTTTAGTCCTTGTGACAAATCCAACTTACTGAGAGTGCAAAGTAAAATAATAATAACACAGCCATAAACACAATAGGAATGTACGAGTTTACATTATTCAACCTCAGTTTAAGTAACTGGTTGATAGTTGATTCATTCACATATGTCCCCAATACAATCTTATGCTTAATTTAATACCAATATAATTATTTGATAAATACAAAATTCAATCAGTTGAATTTAGTCTAAGGTCAAAAATCAGTATAGTTGGATTTTAGGTTATTTGACAATAAGTGATCATTTAGAAACGCTTAAAAGGTACGCGAATATTTCGAAAACTTACTCAAATTCCACCAAATAAGTTATCGCTTCGGATCGTACTTCACTTAATTTACTTCCAGGACCTAGAGTACATAGTTCACTCACCCACACAAAACAAGCTATTTCGTCAAATTTCAATAACCCTAATTGTAAAGTGTGATCGATAGACGAACCCACCAATAATAAGTGAAACGCCCACCACCACATTTACTCTTTTTGATCTTGTACGGCTGTATCTCTTTATTAACCAATCACAGTTTGATGTTCATTGTAAAACAATATTTGCTTGTTGACTCATTTTTCCTATTCTCTGGCTACTGTTCGGTATGTTATTTGTCTCTGTTTTTCCCTGTATTAATAGACCGTACTGTTTGTTTGTACACTAACGATGTTAATTTACGTTTTAGAAACAGATAAAGTTTATCTAGCCAAATAGCTTGCTTGTTCTGACTTTGGCTAAACCAAGACTCTGTATTCGACAGTCTAGAGATTAACTTAGAGTTGAATCTGTAGGAAATTGCTTCCTACAAAGATTCGAACAGTAATTTCGATATACCTACTGCAATGACCTCCAATAAATACTACGATTCTGATGAGATTCCAGAGTTATCACCCCATCATGTGGGAGTTTATGACGAGGACCAACCTGAAAAGAACGAACTCAAAACAATAGCATGATAGAACTAGAGTTAGCTAGGTTGCGCATAACCCAGTTAGAAAAGGAAATTGAACTAGAAAGGTTACGCCTCCAGAAACGTGAAGGTTCCGGCCAATTAGTAAGTAACAGTGAGAATACAATATTAAAAAATCTGTATTTACCAAAAAGAGAAGTCTTAAGATTCAATGGTACACCGACAAATTATTGGAACTTCATTAAAAATTTCGAAGAATGCATTGGGAGTGAGAATATTGGATTCAGAGCTAAGCTAAATTACTTGATTCAATATTGTGACGGAGAAGCGAAAGCCGCTATCCTTCATTGTACTATACTAGAACCAGAGATAGGTTACTATCAAGCACTAAAGTTTTTAGAAGAAACGTTTGGCCAAAAACACGTCGTAGCACGCACGTTTATCGATAACTTGTTAAACTTTCCCAATATAAGGAGAAATCAACCAGATGGTTTGAGAAGACTATCTCGAGGAATGCAAGCTAGTAGTTTGACTCTCGAACAGATGAATTACGTTTCTGATTTGAACTCTTCTAGAACTATTGAAACTATGGTTCTGAAATTACCAACCCACATTCAACAAGAGTGGCTAAAGGTAGCTTATAAGATTATCAGAGGAGGCAGAGAGCCTCTGTTCACTGGTCTTGTTGAGTTTGTAAAGGAGCAAGCTGATATAGCCAATACTAGATACGGCCTGCTCGTCAACCGCGGTAGTAATAGTGACAATAGAGATGTTGGCGTTTTAAAAGGGAAAATTAGTGCAGATTACAATACAGCAAAGATATCTTATGTGCGTACTAGTGATGATAATGCTCCCTTACGCAGTTCATCTTGTTTGGAGTGCTTCAGTAATCATTCCTTAGATCAATGTCAGAAATTTAAAGACAAGAGTGTTAGAGAAAGGAAGGAATTCGTTCTTAGACACAAGTTGTGTAATGTGTGTCTGAAGGCAAACCACGTAGCAAAATACTGTCGATCGCCGAGGTCGTGTGCTGTTGAAGGGTGTGGCTGGAGACACCATACCCTGTTACACGAGTTGCGGGAAGAACAAAGGAATAATAATATTGATGCCTACATCCACACTCAACTATGTACGGAGAAAAGTGTCGAGCGTGTACAGAAACAAGCGGCATTCGCAATAGTGCCTGTACTGGTAAAAAATGAAGAAAAGGTAGCACAGACTTGTGCCTTCTTAGATAGTGGGGCAGATGCCTCGCTTATTACAGAAGATCTAGCTAGAAGGTTGAATTTGGAAGGAGAGCCTAAGACGATTTCATTGAGAACGTTGGACAACCAGTCCACAATTCAGTGTAAAGAGATCCAACTAGAGGTTTCCTCCTTAGACTCATCTTCGTCATTTAGAATCCTAAACGTATGGACAGTCGAGAGATTACCTATGTTGCGCAGGACGGTACCAACGACGTCTCAAATGACATCCTGGACGCATTTAAAAGACATAAGTTTTCCGAGAGTAGAGGATGAGAATGTCGAACTGTTGATCGGGTGCAACGTACCGAGTGTACACGAAATGAAAGAGGTAAGAACTGGAAAGCCGAATGAACCATTCACCGTGAAGACTCTGTTAGGTTGGACTCTTCGGTTCCTATGGAGAACCCTGTAAAAGCAATCGTGTACTCAATCACCTCTCAGCTAAAGAGGAATTAAAGGATAAGTTTAAACAATTGTATTCAACTGAATCCAAAGACCTACTTAGTCGTACTTCATCGATGTCTGTGGAAGATCGTATAGCATTAACAGAATCCACATATGGTGTCGCGGAGTATACTTGTTCCGAAAATGTCTCTCGTCAAGTTCATTGTTCGTTTTTAATAACTGAGTATAAGGTTGTTAAGCCGAAAACCAAAGCACCATCTGCTAATAAATCCAAATCAACTCTAAGAGAGCTTAAGGAAAAGAAGGACATCAAACTGAAAGTGAAGACTACGAAAAGGCCGAAGCAGGTAGCACATATTCGCCGTGGTATCGAGGAAGGTGTTGAGAAAGGCGCCCTTATACGAGTTGTGAACAAGAGTAAGGGTGCATCTGGTAGTTCTATAGGAGCCAATGCTATTCTTAGACAGATCATGTGTAGTTGGAACCAGAATAAGACAGTAAATGCCCTTTTAGAGAGAGGTTGTGAATGGCGCTTTAAACTTCCGAGGGCTAGTCAACGAGACAGTGTATGGGGACGCATCATAAAGTCGATAAGAAGAATTCTGCGATCACTATTGTTTCAGAAGGTATTGATGGATGAGTCTTCAAGAGACTTAGTGTTAGTAAACAATGTTTGCTCACCGAGAAGTCTATGGTCCAAAGCTATTGTCGAACAAATAAGCTATGGCTCTGACGGCCAAGTTCGTACGGCCAAATTGAGAACCGCAAACGAAGAAACTGTTCGGGACGTACGACGCTTATGTCTACTAGAAGGAGCCGGCTGTCTGACAGCGACGACGACCCTGGACAACGGACGTGGTGCGCGTTTCGGGGGGAGTGTGAAGTGTGATCGATAGACGAACCCACCAATAATAAGTGAAACGCCCACCACCACATTTACTCTTTTTGATCTTGTACGGCTGTATCTCTTTATTAACCAATCACAGTTTGATGTTCATTGTAAAACAATATTTGCTTGTTGACTCATTTTTCCTATTCTCTGGCTACTGTTCGGTATGTTATTTGTCTCTGTTTTTCCCTGTATTAATAGACCGTACTGTTTGTTTGTACACTAACGATGTTAATTTACGTTTTAGAAACAGATAAAGTTTATCTAGCCAAATAGCTTGCTTGTTCTGACTTTGGCTATTCGACAGTCTAGAGATTAACTTAGAGTTGAATCTGTAGGAAATTGCTTCCTACAAAGATTCGAACAGTAATTTCGATATACCTACTGCAATGACCTCCAATAAATACTACGATTCTGATGAGATTCCAGAGTTATCACCCCATCATGTGGGAGTTTATGACGAGGACCAACCTGAAAAGAACGAACTCAAAACAATAGCATGATAGAACTAGAGTTAGCTAGGTTGCGCATAACCCAGTTAGAAAAGGAAATTGAACTAGAAAGGTTACGCCTCCAGAAACGTGAAGGTTCCGGCCAATTAGTAAGTAACAGTGAGAATACAATATTAAAAAATCTGTATTTACCAAAAAGAGAAGTCTTAAGATTCAATGGTACACCGACAAATTATTGGAACTTCATTAAAAATTTCGAAGAATGCATTGGGAGTGAGAATATTGGATTCAGAGCTAAGCTAAATTACTTGATTCAATATTGTGACGGAGAAGCGAAAGCCGCTATCCTTCATTGTACTATACTAGAACCAGAGATAGGTTACTATTGTTACGGTAAATAAATCCCCAAACTAAATAGCTCAATAGGTTTTCGACATTGGATGCTGACCATATGTTTTAGTGGA